GTTTCTGACTAGCCAGCTCAAGAGCATCTATTTCATACACCCCAACTAGTGCACCTGAAGTAGGCTCTTCCTTCTTCTTCTTAGGCTGAAGACTTCCTCCATTGGTCACTTCAAATGTGGTTCCATAACTATGGCCAATGACGTTATCCAGATAGAACCACTGTTTTTCAAAAGTTACTTTTCTGGGGAAGAAAATACAATCAATTAGTTGAATCTCATTTGCATTCAGAATAGAAAAGATATGTTTGATCTAGTTTATTTCAAAACTGGTCTTCACAAACGATGATCAGCAGCATTATCTCTGAACACAAACTGACAAATGGACTAGAGAGAATGGGGTTGGGGCACAGACACAAATTAATAAAGCCACAAAATCACTGATTTTGGAACAAGAAACAAGGACAGAAGACATTCCTCTTCTGAGGCACTGGTTTGACTCCATTTTGCACTATTGGACGGGATGTCCAAACTTACAGGCTCTGAGGATTTCTGAATAGTATAAAGGGTCATCAAGACTGGCAGGCCACTGGACACACACTGTGATGCCCCTTGCAACTTACACAAGAAAATCTCAAACTGAACAATCATTGAGATGGTAGGGACTTAACAAATTTAACTGGCCATTTTCTTTGAAAATTATCTAGTAAAAGCAAATTGTATTTACAAATAAACATAACTGACAGTCTACACATTTGGAAAGGGTGCCTAACACTGACAATTCTCTGTATTGAGGATCAGGCAATTTTAGCCTTTCTCTTACCCAGATTTTTCTCTTATTACAATTTAAAAGAGAAACCCCACAAAAGCAAATGCTTTCCTTTCAAAAGAAGGCAACTGGGCCAGCCCCAGTGGCCTAGTGGTTAAGTTCAGCACACTCTGCTTTGGCAGCCTGGGTTTGGTTCCCAGGAGCAGACCTATATCACTTGCTTCTGAGGGGTCATGCTGTGGCAGGGGCTCACATACAAAAAAGAGGAATACTAGCAACAGATGCCAGCTCAGGGTGAATCTTCCTCCAGCAAAAAAAAAAAAAAAGAAGGAAACTAACAACTGCTGAGTGTGGACCAGGGCTGGGCAGTATGTGCCAGCTGTGTTCATACTTTTTTTTTTCTTTTTTCTTTTTGGTGAGGAAGATTGGCCCAGAGCTAACATCTGTTGCCAATCTTCCTCTTCTTGCTTGAGGAAGATTGTTGCTCAGCTAACATTTGTGTCAATCTTCCTCCACTTTGTATGTGGGATGCCATCACAGCATGGCTTGATGAGTGGTGTGTAGGTCCATGCCTTGGATCCAAACCTGCAAACCCCTGGCCACTGAAGTGAAGTGCATGAACTCAACCATTATGACGCTGGGCTATACTCTCATACTTTTTGATTTAATTCTCACAGTAGTCCTGGGACATAGCTTTTTCTAGAAGAGCAATCTGAGACTCAGGGAAAAGGATCTTGTCCAAGATTCACAGTTAGAAAGTGGGAGCTGGGATTCAAATCCAGGTCTGCCTGACCCCAAAGCCTGGTTCTTTCCACTGTACTACCGTCTGCCCCAGCAAAGACCAAAGATCTCAGGAAGCCCTGCCTAGCTTCAGGACATGGCCCACATCCACAGAACTCTGAATCCTGGAAGACAGGTACTGGTTAATTCTGTTTGTGCCCCACCCTACATCTTCTCTTCCTTTCTCTGTGCCCCAGGAGGCTGACCATGACAGAATGCATAGACCCCATCACAGGTTTCCTTGCCGAAGGCTTCCCACCACTGCTAGACCCTGGGTGCATCAGCATTCCCTCTTGGTTCTGTAAACCTCGTCACACCTTTGTAGGTGGTGTGTGTCACATCTTAATTAGATCTTCTCACTCAAACCAACTGAGGGAATTCTTGTGAGATCCTAAGTGATCCAGGTAGGGTCAATTCTTAGTCTCTGCTGGGTCCCCAGTTACTAACACATAACAGAACATAACAGATACTCAAAACATTTGCTGACATAACCCCCTCAGAGAAGCTGAAACTCAGTTCAGCCCAGACATGCACCCTGCACCCTCATCCTTTGAACACCCCAGTGCTACTGAAATGCTGGGTCTGACCTGGGTCAGGTTTACCCCTTTGGCAGCCAGTCTGATATACAAAGAAGGGTGTGTCACTCAAAGTGAGTGGCCCGACAGGTCACTGACTAGTCAGGAAAGTGGGGCCCAGTCAGAGGGATGTGGAGGCATGTTTTCGCTGGGAAGGTGAGATTTGCAGAGTTTCCTTCTCAGAGAGCCAGGACTGCTTCTGCCCAACCAGATGAGTGCAGCCTCAAGAGAAGACTGAAGGCAGAGTCTGGCCTGGGATGCAGTGGAGCTCAGAGAGCCATTTTCAAAATAAAAGGGAAACTAATGCTGTGGCTTCTGCCAAAAAAAGTGATGAAAAGTGTTTCCAGATAAATGTCTAAAGAGTTTTTTAGAAATAAAGATGTTGCTCTCTATCTCCTTGGCAATGGAAAAGCTCTTGTCTAAAAAAGCACATTTGGGGCCGGCCCAATGGTGCAGTGGTTAAGTTCAGCATTCTCTGCTTCAGCAGTCCCAGTTTGTGGTTTTGGATCCCAGGCATGGACCTACACTACTCGTCAGCCATGCTACGGCAGCAACGCACATATAAAGTGGAGGAAGATTAGCACAGATGTTAGCTCAGGACTAATCTTCCTCAGCAAAAAAAATAAATAAAAGAGCACATTATTAAAAAGCACACTCAAACGGGGCTGGCCCCGTGGCCGAGTGGTTAAGTTCGCGCGCTCCGCTGCAGGCGGCCCAGTGTTTCGTTGGTTTGAATCCTGGCGCGGACATGGCACTGCTCATCAGACCACGCTGAGGCAGCGTCCCACATGCCACAACTGGAAGAACCCACAACGAAGAATACACAACTATGTACCGGGGGGCTTTGGGGAGAAAATGGAAAAAATAAAATCTTTAAAAAAAAAAAAAAAAAAAAAAGCACACTCAAACTACCGTATTTTAAAATTAAGCAACTTAAAAGGACAGTATGAGAAAGAAAAACCAAAGTTTCACCTGCTCAGTCATTGTACAGCTGTATAACTTTGGGCTCATTTATCAAACTTATAACCTAAGGATTCTGCTGCACTGTTATACTTCAATTAAAAAGTTTAAATAATTAGTACTAGCACTTTCCAAAAGTTATGTAGTTGGGAGCAGGCACACACTTCTAATCAGAAATTCTGAAAAGAAAAAAAGTACTGGGTTCAAAAATACAACGTACAGCAGGGATGAGGGATAGTTATAAGATTTCTCTAATTTCAACTACCAAAATGAAATATTATATCAACGGGGAATTTAAAAATGCTTAAGAGCTGGTGCAGATATTTCATCTCTGGACTAAAGAAATCCCTCTCCCCCTATATTTTTTTTCCTGCACTGAATTGGTGCTTGTGCAAATACACTTGGTTATCACCAGCTTGGCGCCTTACGGACTGTTACTTGACTATTTTCTAATGACATCTGTTTCACTTTAAATATCAGTCAACAGTTTGATTCACATAGGAGTAAAAGAATTCATCTGAAGTGAGCACTTATCAGAAATCGCAAGTCTCACAATATGTAACCTTATGATCCACAGAAAGCTGTTCTCCTGACACTGCATTCAACCTACTTCCTTGTCAAAAGTACTATAATAACCCAACTCAAAGTTTGGTTGTACTTCTCAGATAATTAACCAAAACATCCCAATACATTTTAAGCTATTGGAATTTAACAGCCTCAGCCCCCTGCCTCCGTCCCCCAGCCAGAAAGCTATCAAAATTCCCACTTCCCTAGTACTAAGACAGTGTGATTACTAATCAGCAGGTTCACAAGTCAAACGTAATTTCAAGTTCTGACATCTTGAGCAAACTGCTTTTGGGTAGTTTAACTTTCCCAGACCTTGCATCTTTTGGTGTAAAAGGAGGGAACCCTAGAGTGATCCCACATTCTATGAAAAGTTGCTTCCTAACGTTATTCTGTGTAGACAGGTATTCCTGGTTGGGTAGAGAGAAGAGCCTGGAAGGCCAGACAAGGTTGGAGAAGTGTCATTTTTGTGGGATTGATGCTGGCTGAGGGCTAAGGGAAGAAAAAGGGTCTATGGTAAAAAGGGGGCAGGGGCAGACTCTGAGAGGCAAGGATGAGATCAGAGGATGAAGGATGGGTTCTGTGAGAAAACAGGAGACAAAAATCTCAAGAACCTAGGAGAAGAACCCAAGGACAGATGGTGGGGTGGGCCTGCAGGGGAGTATCCGGGCCCCACGAGGGTCAGGAATGGGAAAGGGACTCTGTGGAAAGACCGAGAGGGATGCTGAAGGCAGACAGCTAGGTATGAGACCAGGGAAAAGGGGCACTGTAAGAAGCAGGAGGAGTAGGGGAGACCTCGAGGCCCGAGGATGGGATCCTGGGGAAAAGGCCTCTGTGGGAAGACCTGAGAGGAGATAACCAGAGAAGAAGTGGGGAATCCAGAGAGCCAAGAACGGGACCCTGGTGGCAGCAGGTCTGTGGGAAGACCTGGAGGGAGGGCGTCTCTGGAAGATGGGGGCGAGGGATCCCTAAGGCCAGCGACATGACTTACTTTCTCCGCTGAACTTGCACGGCTTTGAACACATCTTCCCGTTTTAGCACCACGTAGTCGCCGTCGCGGATGCGGTGGTCCCCAGGATGCGGTGGTTGTGGGCCCGGTTGCTCCCCTGAGTCCTCCATGAAGCTCAACCGGTCTCCTTGCTCCGCAGCGTTTCTCCAGTCCCCAGCGGCCCTCCCCCCTCGTCCTCCACTGTCGCAGCTGCCAGTCTCAGCTGCCAGCCTCACCTCCCCCAAACCGAAGGGCCGCAGATCCCCGCGACCGGCACCGCCCCCACGTGCTACGCGCTGCTTCCGCTTTCCGGTCGGAACCTCTGGAGGGGCTTCCGGGAGCTTCAAGGCTTCCGTCTGGCTGAACTCCTTGATTGGCTGGGCTCCGTCCCGCCCCTCACGTCTTGCCGCTCCTTGGACGGAAGTTGCGTCACAGGAGCGCCAAAAAAGAACTTGGAAGGAGACTGGATTTCGGCTGGAGGCGCTAGATGGCTTCCCGTGAACCTTCGCAGCGTTGGTGGGGAAACTGAGGTCCCCCAACCGCTCCGATAGAGGAGACTCGGCCTCGCGCGGGGACGTCAGGAGAGCTGTAGCTAAAGAGAGTGGCGGGACTTGGGCAGGGGTTAGCTGAGGGGCTCAGACCTCGGAGTCTCTCTGCCCGCCGGGACGAAGGGAGAGCCGGCCGGGCGCATCTGCTCCTACGGAGGAGCCGGCCCAGCGGTGAACTAGGAGAGCTTTGGGCCCGCCGTCCTTTACAAGTAAGAACTTAGTGTGAGGAGACGTAAATGAAGTAGGCTGTTTAACGAAGTACGGCAGGCGGACGCGTGGCTCCTTTACTCATTTTCCAGTCCTGCCTCTTGCATTTGTGTTGGAATTTTTACTGGTTATTCTTCCCATATTATCACGTTAGAAAAAGATAGGGCATGTAGCGTTGTCGAAGGGGCACTTTAGTTTAGGAGTGTGAAGACGGAGTTTTGAGTTCAATACTGTCACCAAACAACTTTGATGTTGATCAGTTCGCTTAGTTTCTTTGGGCTTCAGTTTCTTAACGTATGATATGGTCTAGATGATTATCAACGTCCTGTCGTGCCCTAACATCTGAACTTTAGTTATTAACTTATTTATTAACTAAATCCCTTTAAATAAAGATTCGGATATGCCCTCTTGTAGTGAATTGCGCTACGGTGTGCGGATATATTCCTATTTGTTTTTATCCTTAGGACATGAGCTATTTTCTTAAATAGACTTAATTTTTTAGAAGTTTTAGGTTTACGGAAAGTACAGAGAGTTCCCATATATCACCTCTTCACTCTCCTCACCTCCAGTTCCCCCTATTATTAGCATCCTGTATTCGTGTGATATATTTGTTGCAATTGATGGATCAAAATTAATACATTGTTAATAACTAAAGTCCATAGTTTACATTAGGGTTCACTCTGTGTTGTACAGTTCCCTGTATTTACACAATGCATAGTGTCGTGTATCAGTATCAAAGAGAATGGTTTCACTGCCCTAAAAATGCCCTGTGCTCCACTTATATGAATTATTTTAAAACCCCCTTTTTTTCTTTTTTGAGGAAGATTAGCCCTGAGCTAACTGCTGCCAATCCTCCTCTTTTTGCTGAGGAAAACTGGCCCTCAGCTAACATCCATGCCCGTCTTCCTCTCCTTTATACATGGGGTGCCTACCACAGCATGGCTTTTGCCAAGTGGTGCCATGTCTGCACCCGGGATCAGAACCAGCAAACTCTGGGCCACCGAAGCGGAACGTGCACACTTAACTGCTGTGCCACCAGGCCGGCCCCCCAAACCCATTTTTAAAGGTCACATATTTCAATTTATTGCTCCTTAACCAGGAACTATCTTTATGGCATTGAGTTTAATAAAAATGAGTATCTTGGGGCTGGCCCGTGGCTGAGTGGTTAAGTTGGTGTGCTCTGCTTTGGTGGCCCAGGTTCTCCGGCTGGAATCCTGGTCGTGGACATGGCACTGCTCATCAAGCCATGCTGAGGTGGCGTCCCACATGCCACAGCTAGGAGGACCCACAACTAAAAATACACAACTATGTATCTGGGGGCTTTGAGAGAAAAAGGAAAAATAAAATCTTAAAAAAAAAAATGAGTGTCTTGATAGGTACGAAATTAAAAAAAACGTGAAGAGCTAATTAACAAAGATTATATTAACATGGATATACTTTCAAAAAAACTTTACTGCATTTCAACAGATTTGTCTGGAAACTGAAAATAATCCATCTAATCAGTATTCACCTAGAAATGATCTTTCTTCCCTTGTCTTTTTAAGACAGTTGTTGTAAATCTACTGGAAAATTAACTTCTTTCTCATTTTGGCCCTACAGAGAAAGAAAGAAGAGCTGAAACAGATGTGTACCCTGTCCCATTCCTGTGTTTCCCCAAAACGGTCCACCTTAGATGCCTATGTGAGAATTTCCATGTATCTCTGATAAAAGTGGGTGTGACACTGCAGGATTGACTGTATATAAAGAGCTATGATGATTTATTCCTGGTGTCTCACGGGTCAGGATTATGTTCAGCCGGTGCTGCCCTAAGATAAGTCTCAAAACGTTGCCAGCAAGTTATCGTAGAAGTAATTACTTGTCTTATTTTCAATTTCTATGGTGGAAGTTCCTTGAAAATAAGTACTGTACCTTTTCTTATTTTTTATCCCATGAGCATCCAGTGTACTTGGTTAAACATCTGTGGAATGCGTTAAAAAGAGATGGGGATTAGAAGAGTAACTGCAAATTGGAAGAGTAAAGGAAGCTTATACCACGTACAGCGTTGCATGCCTGTTTGCTAGTCTCACACTAGAATATATTAATTTTTGCTATTTTCTCTGGTAATACACGTCACCCCTTATCCAAGGGAGATATGTTCCAAGACCCCCAGTGGGTGCCTGAAACCATGAATAGTACCAAACTCTACATATACTATGTTTTTTCCTATACATACCTATGAGAAAGTTTAATTTATAAATTAGGGACAGTAAAAGATTAACAACGATAGCTAATAATAAAATAGAACAGTTACAACAATATCCAGTAATAAAAGTTAGGTGAATGTGGTCCCTCTCTCTCTCGAAATATCTTATTATACTGTACTCATCTTCTTGTGATGATGTGAGATGATGAAGTGCCTACATGATGAGATGAAGTGAGGTGGATGATGTAGGCCTTGTGAGGTAGCATTAGGCTACTGTTGACCTGCCGATGATATGTCGGAAGGAGGACCATCTGCTTCTGGACCGAGGTTGACTGTGGGTAACCGAAACCGCGGTTAAGGGGGGACTACGTTTTTAGGAATACTTTTTCCCTTATAGTTTTGATGAAGACTTTTCTAATCTCTATCTTTTAGAAGACATGAGTGGAGAGTATAGAGGCAGAGGATTTGGACGAGGACGATTTCAAAGCTGGAAAAGAGGAAGAGGTGGTGGGAGCTTCTCAGGAAAATGGAGAGAAAGAGAACACAGAACTGACCTGAGTAAAGCCACAGGAAAACATACTTCTGGTAGGAAAGGTCAAGGATTGTTCAGGTTTTTTTCCTTCATGAAAGAATCTATCATGCCTATCAAACATAGCAGTTTACCTCATACTTCAGCCTATCTTTTATTTTATGTTACTCCTTAAGGTAGTGTTTGAATGTTAATATTCCAAAATTCACACTAAAACTTGTAATTTAGATATTGTTAGTATCATGTCAGGTTCTCATTGTTGAAAGGAGAAGCAAATTGGAAAAAAATTTGCTCTGTTTCTACAAACCTAGTATTCTGGTTTTTTTCAGAACAAACTTCACAGTCTTTGCTACTACAATCAACATTGGATCAGTTCATACCATATAGAGGCTGGAAGCTTTATTTCTCTGAAGGTAGAGTTAAAAGTGCAAAAAGTGCCATAAATTGTATTTCCTTAACTTGTCTTTGGATTCTGTATCTCGTGCTACTATAATTCATTTAGTTTACTGAAGTATACTCCCTTCTTTAGTCTTAGTTCATCTAAACAATTAAATTGTGTGTATCTTTCAAGAGCATTCTTTTTAGGTTTTGTATCAGTTAGGAAAACAGAAACCAAACTAGGTATTTCAAAAAGGGAATTTAATATAGGGAATTTGATGTACAGATGGAAGACCGAAAGAGCTAAATGGGAACATTTATGGTAGATGATAGTAACTTCGGGCACAGCAAACTACTTTTATGACTGAGGGAAGAAAAGTTAAGACATTCTGAGGTTACCAGAGCCTAGGAATTCAAAGGAGGGCCCACAGCCTAGCTGCTGCTTTGACTTCTAAAGGGCACCCTACGGTGCTGTGCTTGGACCTCTGAAGGGTGCCCTTGAGAGCTCTGCTGAGACCTCTGAGGCAGATTAAGCTGGTTGCTGCTGGTAACTCTGGTAGGAGGGTGGCACGGTTGGTGCTTAGAGCTGGAGGCCAGGACTGTTATCCTCTGCAGCTGGAGAGATACTAAAATGCATTGAAAACAATAAATTCCTTTCTTTTTTCTGCCACCTTCCATTCTCTAAGTGCTTCCAATTGGTAGAGCCTCAAGGGAGTCTGGGAAATCCAGTGTGCAGATCTTGACCATAGGATCATAGAGCAGAGAATAGAAGGGTGGGCCTGGAACTGAGAGACAATAACCAGCACAGCTTTGTGTAGGAAACAGTTAAGGAATCTCCCTTTTATAATCAGGAACACAGCTAACATCATACATCTGTTTATATAGGTTCGGAGACTTGTTTTTTCTGTGCTCTTATAGTATCTATATGCTTGTTACGTCTTTTATGAGATATGGGACATATCTATATATCTGTATTTTTTTCCCCACTAGACTGTGCACTGCTTGAGGGCAAAGATCTTGCCCCATATCACACACTCAGTATGCATTTTGTAAATGAATAAAGTGCTTTACAAATATTTTCTATATTGAGAGTCTGGTTTTTTTTTCTGATATATAGACAGATATGTTTCATAGGTGACGTGTCTTTTGTTGCTTTAGAATGCATTAGCCACCAGCAACCACAATATTTCCCTAGCAGTTAGCTCAGAACACTAGAAGTGAGCTTTGGACTGGTCCTAAAAATGCAGTTCAGGAGGTGCCTTAGCTACTTCGTTGTACTTCCCAACTACTTCATTGTACTGTTTCTCTGTGGGAGAGCAATTCAAACATGTAGAACTTTCGAGTGTAAAAGATAGCTTTACAATTTAAAGACCAGACTCAAGTGTTGGGCTGTCTTTCCCTGGATCTTAGAAAGGGATTTGACAAGTGGCAATTTGGACTAAGAATTTACTGCAGTTGCAAAGACTGTCTTCAGCTCTGTTTCAGAGTAAGAATTTAGTTTGTGTCTAGCTTTGGCTTTATTATAATTTTTGTTTTAAGCTTATCATGTAAGCTGTTTGAACTAATAGGTCCTATTAGGTGTCAGAGGTGCAGTACAGAGATTTCCAGATATTGATGCTTTTAGAGACACTTCCTGTCTGTATTTCAGATTATGCAGACCTAAATTTGTTTTAGAATCTTAAGTACACATTTTATACCAATTCTTAGCTGAATGAAATTAGAATGCAAAGCATTGGAAAAAGTCACCTATCATATATATAGTGTTTCTTCTGTCTTATGAAAAATATGCTTGTACATGTGTGATTATTAGTGCTAATGTCATGTTTGTTGCACTAGTTTACAGTGATAGCTCTCCTTTTATTGAGAAGATTCAAGCGTTTGAAAAGTTTTTCGCAAGACATATTGATTTGTATGATAAGGTAAGATTCCCGTACAAGAAAGCTACTTGTCCACCTTTGTATGTTGCCTTATTGAACGATGTATTTGAGGTGCTAGTGATTGTGATCATAGACACTGGAGCCAGACTGCCTTGGTCCAGATCCCAGCTCTGCCCTTAGCTGCAGGGTGAACTTTGGTGAATTACATACCTTCTTTGTGCCTCAGTTTTCTCATCTATCAGTTGGCAATAATAGTATTAACCTACCACAAAGGGTTGTTAAGAGGCATAAATTAGTTAATATATTTTAAATATTAGAACTGTGGTTGGCACAAAACTTAGATTACTTATTATCACCACATAAACATGCTTTCTCAAAGTGTGTAACTGAATGCTCAGTTGTGATAGTTGACTCTGAAAAAGCAATCATTGTTTTCACGCCTTAATATTTTACAGGATGAAATCGAAAGAAAGGGAAGTATTTTGGTGGATTTTAAAGAACTGGCAAAAGACGACGAAATGGCTAAATTGATACCAAATATAGCAAATGAATTAAGGGATACACCTGAGAAAACCTTGGCTTGCATGGGTCTGGCAATACATCAGGTAAATATTTATTTTGTGCAGACTTTTGTCAAAATTTTCAAGGAAGATTTCACAGTAACAGTACAGTCTCTAAAAGATACTTAGTTTTTACCAAAAATTGTTGACTAGAACTGAAAGGTTGCAATCCTGTCCTAAAAGATACTGTTCATTCTACATACAACAGCTTACCTAAATATAACATTTATTTCTAATTTATTTGAATTAGTTTAGTCTTGTGAAAGATTGTGCAGAAATTAAACCTTGTTTTCACGGAGTTATACAATCTCATAGGAGAGATAAGACAGACTCATGAAGTTATCAGTTATGAACTTGGAATAGAAAGATCAACCTCAGATCTAAGTTCTGTGGCATGAGGCAAGTCACTTAATCTCTGTGAATGTTCCCATATATAAATTGAAAATAACAGTATGTATTGTGCCTGCCTGAGTTTTTCTCAGGGTCAGATGACATGTCATATGTGAAAGCATTTTCTAGGCTGGCAAACAGATATGCTTCAAGGTAAAGAGTAGTAAATCTCAGGACAGGCACAGATAAGGTGGTAGGTATGTTCAGTAATGAAGATAAGACCCTCAGCTGTTGGGGAGGAGTGGGGAAAGCTCACAGGGAGACTTGGTAGAGGTGGAGTTTACAGTGGGTCTTAAAAAGGGGCACTGAGGATTGGACCTAGAGCAGGGAGGTAGGGGATGCAGGCACAAGGAAGAGTTCATTACGAAGGTGTGTACACTGCTAGTAACCTGAGACCGGAACCTTGGCTGTTGTCGTCAGACTCATCTCAATCATCAGTTCTTCTTCTCCAAGTCACCACATCTTTTCAATTCTATTTCTAAAATGCCCACCTCTTTTCCATCCTTACTGTCTCTGTCTTAAGCCTTCATTACCTTTCCTAAATTGTTGCTATACATGATAAAACATGATCTGTCTTTGAAAACTGTGGTGACTCTTTACTGCCAAATGAAATCCAAAACCTTTATGAAGGGTTGAAGGCCTTCCATGGTCTAGTTCAACTTCCTCTCCCCACTGCTCGCCCTCATTCACTACCACGCAGCTAAACTGAGCTCTCTTCAGCATTCTCTCAATACTCCTACCTCTCACACATGCTGTCCATTCAGCACAGAATGCCCCTTGTGTTGGATGTCCAAGTCTTTTGTACCTAACTCAGTTGTCTCACTGTGAAACCTTTCTCATGATCCCTTTTCAAAATAGTATTTCGTCTGTAAATCTTTATGGTCCGTATGACAATTATAGCTATGTACGTGCATCTCATTTTCTCTCAGATTGTCAGCATACTGCTTTGTACACATGTAGATATTAAATATTTAATGTCAAATGCCAAGGGAGTGAATATTGGATATTTCAAAAGTCATCTTAATTGTGCTTATCTTAAGCAGTAAATGTAAAGAGGTAGAAGATATTTTTCACCAGAACCCATCCAGTAGGTAATAACTTTGGAGGCTGCTATAGGGACTTTTAATATTAGGTTTAGTTGGAACAGAAGGTAGCAGGCCAATGCTGGAGTTTTCCAATCCAGGGACAACAAAATCCCTGATAAAACGTAATCCACTATAAAATAAATAGTCATAATTAAATATCAGAGTTTTAAAGGGCTGTTAGAGTTCTGTTAATATTCTGTTCTGAGCTGTTTATACTCATAAGCTTCATATTCTCTACAAAAGACTTCTGCTTCAAGAAGATATTTTGTTTTCCAACTTTTGAGTAAATGTCTATCCTGTTTAGGTATTAACTAAGGACCTTGAAAGACACGCAGCTGAACTACAAGCTCAAGAAGGATTGTCTAGAGATGGGGAAACAATGGTAAATGTGCCACATATTCACGCAAGGTGAGGAATTTGCTGGTATTAAAGTATTATTTAGAATCAGGCGTTGGAGACTGTTTAAGAATGATAACCTTGTATTATAAAGCCAAAGAAATCAGTAAAAAGGGTATGATTTCTTTGCTGTCTCATTGGTCGTCACACTCAAGTGAACCCACTGAGAATTCTTGAAGATCATGACAGAAATAAACCTTTTCTGCCCAAATATGTTGATTTCCCAACCTGCATGCTTTTCTAAATGTTGATTTTGGATGTGTACTTATCAAGACTCTGCTGTTTAAATTTAGTAATCTGTGTAATACACTAAGTGGTGTGATTATATTTTGTTAAAATTACTAGGTTTCTACTAGACGCAGAGAGCAAATGGAATTTTGTTTTTCTTTAATTCATCTTTATTGTATTTTAAGATTTTAAATTCTCATTAGAAGAGGTAGCTGATCACCAGGGTTTTGTTTTTCCTTTCTAGAATTCATAGAAGACATTCCCTAACAGTTCTTGAATAAGAAGTTAGAAACTCAAAAGTTGCTGAATCTGTAGACTTTCTTTTTGGCATTGTTTTTTTCCTTTTTCCTTAGAGAACAGCCAGTGGTACAAGAAGAAAAGGGAAGATTTAGCATTTTTTATTTTTAAGAATGATTTAATTCTTGTGAAATTTCTGATGTGTAGGGATAATGTGGTTTGAGAATCCCATAGTTGCTCCTAAAAGGAACTTGTGAAAATACAGACAACCTCAACTTTCTGTTCACTTTAAATTCATAGATAAATATGTTCTTCTTTTTGTTTTTAGGGTTTACAACTATGAGCCCTTGACACAACTCAAAAATGTCCGAGCAAATTACTATGGCAAATACATTGCTTTGAGAGGGACAGTGGTCCGCGTCAGTAATATAAAGCCTCTTTGCACCAAGATGGCTTTTCTTTGTGGTGCATGTGGAGAAATTCAGAGTTTGTCTCTTCCAGATGGGAAATATAATCTTCCCACAAAGGTGATAATCATGTTCTTTAACTACTTCTTTATTTACCTTGGTAAAGAAGGCAAATCATTTTACAGAAAGCATTTCCCAATGTTTCTGAACATAGGGCTTATTTTTATTTTTTATTTTCAGTTTTTAAATTGTGATGTTGAAATTGTTAAAGATTTTGTTTACCTTGGTTCAGTTATCAATTTAAACGGAGACTGCAGCCAGGAAATCAAGAGAAGACTGTGACTTGGAAGGGCAGCAATGAAAGAATTAGGGAAGATCATCAAGTGTAAGGAAATGTCATTAGAAACTAAGGCCAAGATTATCCAGCCCCTTGTATTCCCAATTACTATGTACGAGTGCGAAAACTAAACAATGAAGGCTGACAGGAAAAAAATTGATTCATTTGAAATATGTGTTGGAGGAGAGGTCTGTGGATGTCCTGGACTATCAGAAAGACGAACAAATGGGTTCTAGAGCAAATTAAGCTTGACCTAGTGCTGGAGGCAAAAATGATAAATCTGAGACTGTCCTACTTTGGGCAGATCATGAGAAGGAAGGATTCTTTGGAAAAGACAATAATGCTGGGAAAAGTAGAAGGCAGCAGGAAAAGAGGAAGACCAAATGTGAGATGGATTGACTCCATAAAGGAAGCCATAGGCCTGAGTCTGCAGGAGCTGAGTAAGGCTGTTGAGGACAGGACATTGTGGACACCATTCATTCATAGGGTCACCAGGAGTTGGAGCCGACTTGACGGCACGTAACAACAGAACAGAAAAGAAAGAAAGAAAGAAAACATTCCTCTACCCACCTCCCAAAATTTACATTTTTCCAGCTCTAGATATATTTTTAAAGATATAAAGCAATTCTGATATACCCCTTGTTTGTACCATTCCCAAGAGCGATCATTATCCTGAAGTTAATGTAGATCCTTTCCATTCATATTTATATTTTGGCTTAATAGGAACAGACATCACGTTTTCTTTATTCTGCTGTTTGAAAGTGATATGTTCCTTTTTTCTTTAGTAACTTTTTTTAAACTATAGATTTTAAAACCATAGAAAAGTGTAGAGAATAGCTAACATCTGTATACCCACCATTATAAGTTAGTGAATATTAATATTTTGTGATTTTAGCTTCTTTTAACAAAAAATATTAAGTATGATAATTAAAGTTGAAGTCACTCTGTTCCCCGCCCTGGTTCCATTCACTTTGTTCCATCCTAGAGGCAGCTGTTATTCTGAAATTGGTATGTATGCTTCAAGTGCACGTTTTCGTACTTGCCTATATATGTAAGGCTTGTTTTGTTGTGTGTATTTACATAAGGGTATACTGAATGTAACATTCTGCAACTGTTTTTTTCACTTGGTTATTTGGGAGTCTACCTATCTTGATACATATGTAATTCTTTCATTTTTACTGTTGTGGAGTATTCTGTTAAATGAATAGCCACTATTTATCCATTCTCCTGGTGGATGTTTGTGTTGTTTCCAGTTTTTTACAATTAGAAATGATGCTGCAGAGAGCGTTCTTGTATGTCTCCTCAGCAAAGGAATTTCTCAGTTATAGGATATGCTTATTTTTAACTTTATTAGATGTAGCCAAATAACTTCCCAGAGTATTGGTCCCCACTTTACACCCCTACTGGTAGTATTAAGCAATTACCATTTCCCTATATTCTCATTAACACTTGGTGTGGTTAGACTTTTCAATTTTTGCCAGTCTGATGGGTATAAATTGGTATTTCATCTTTAATATGAACTTCTTTGATTTCTCTTATGGTTGAGCATCTTTTCACATCTTTATTGGCCATTCAGTTTCCTTATTGAATTTTCTGTTTATATCTTCTGTTCACTTTTATGTTTATCCTACTGAGAGTTCTTTATGTGTTCCAGATGCTAATCATTGATTATATTCATTACAGATATCTTTGCTCAGTCTTTGGTTTGTCTTTTAACTTTGTGGTGTATTTTTTGTTGTATAGTTTTACGTTTTGAGATGGTTAAATTAATCAGTCTTTTCCCTGATGACTTGTACATTTTATGTTCTGCTTAAGAAGGCATTCCTCACTTGAGCATTATACACATTTCTTACATTTTCTTCTAATACTTTTAAGTTTTGTTTTCTGTATGTAGATCTTTTGTCCATCTGGAATTTAATTTTGTGAATGGCATAAAGCTAGGGGTCTAATTTTTTTCTTTTAGGTGAAGAACCAGTTGTCACCATTTATTAATGAAGCCCTCTATTCCTACTGACATATAATGTTTCCTCTGTAATACACTGTGCTCCTGTAGACGTGTGAGTCTGTTTCATTTCACTGGTCCTGTCTCTGCTCTATGGAATTTTGTTTACATTGATCTTATTAAAACTTTTGATAAGGCGGGAGACTTGCAATATCTATTCTTCTTTTCCAGAGTTGCCTATCTCATCCTTGAACTTTAATAAATTTAACATTTATTAAATTTTTACTGAAATCAAAATTCCTAAGGCTTCCATCTCTTACCGGAAAAACAAGGTGTGTTAAATTCAGCTCTTGGTTCTGAATAATCAGTGGTGTTGATAAATGAGTGTTATCTCCTATTTGTCTGGGCTTACAGTTCAGGCACTGCCTTTAGCTTAGAGGCCAGAATTTAAATCCTGATTAAGTTGGATATTTTCTGTAAATAGCATTTGGTCAAGGTATTTCCACACCTACAATACAGTGGGTAGTAATGCAGACTTGTAAGATGAATGATAGTGTGAAGAGATTCTGCGTGGCTCTGCACTTCAGGGAATTGAAGTGATCAGAAAGATGCTTGTTCCAGGTGATCTCTGTTCCAGTCACTACTGTTGCATAACAACTCACACTAAAACTTAGTGGCTCAAAATAACAATCATTTTCTTACTTCTCCTGGTTTCTGTGGGTCAGGAGTTCAGGAGAACTGCTTGGCTGGGTAGTTCTTGCTCTAAGTCTCTTAGCGAGTTGTAGTCAGTTGTGGCTAGAGCTGGAACAGCAAGGGGCTGGAGTGACTGGGGCTGGCCAGGCATCTCTCCTTCATGTGGTCTTTCTGTGTGTGCTGGTTTTGACTTCTCACACACAGTGTGACAGCTGAGGACACTTGGTCTGCTCACATTGCTGCTGATAGTCAAGAGACAGGTCCAGCTGACAGGCAGAAATGGCTTTGCCTCTTTTGAGCTAACCGCAGAAGTCAAGCAGCATCACTTCTGTCACCTTCTGTTGGTTACAAAGTGAGTCACAGCCTCTCCAGATTCCAGGAGGGGGAAATTAGACTCTGTCTCTTGATGGGGGAGAGGCAAGGTTCTAGAAAGGCTCATGGGGAGATATTGTCGCAACCATATTTGGAAAATACAGTCTGCCACAATCTCCGAATTGGTAAATGCATCTCGAGGTCCGAACAGCAAACAAGTGACTTACAAAAACTTGAACGCAATTTACTTGTATGGTGAAAATTGCCTGTGGTACAATAGATATTATACTATACAAACAGTGCAAAAGGAGGCTAGATAGGAGAGCTGGAGATTAGAGAAGACCTAGGAAAGCCTTTTGAAAAGGAGAGGATTTGGGCTGGGTATGTGGGACTGGATGCGAGGGGGCATTCAAGGATTGGGAGGCAGCATGGGCGCAAAGGAAGAAACAAGTGTTTGGTGTGAGAGGTGAGTGAGGAGCCTTTCATACCCACAGTAGAAAGAGCAGTAGTCAAGTGGGACCAGCTGAGAAAGTGCCTTAAAAGCTTGTGATGCAGAAGGAAGTAGAAAGTCATCGCAGCTCTTAGTATATTTTTCTTTAATACCATTGTGAGACAAACTTTGGAAACAACATTAAATGAAGCATTTTAACTGGAATTTTCCTGAGATGTGATTGTAGTTTATCAAAATCTGAATGTGAATTAATCTTGTTGCAGTGTCCTGTGCCTGTGTGTCGAGGGAAGTCATTTACTGCTCTCCGTAGCTCTCCTCTCACAGTTACGATGGACTGGCAGTCAATCAAGTAAGCAATCAGACTATTAAATAAAAGGCAGGTTTTAGATCTCTCTTACTGCCGAGTAAATCTATAATATTCCTGTGTTATACTGTGATTCTTACCTGTAGACAGTGACAAAGTGTATAATAAAACGTTTGATTGAGTTTATGTGTTGAAATAATTGTTTTTATGTGAAATTTGTTTTAATCAGATTCCAGGAAGGATTTAGTGTGCAAGTATTATGTCCTTTTGCTCCTGAGAAATAGTTTTTTTGTGTGAGTCATTGAACTGGGTGTAGACCATAAGCAAAACTGCGTGATTCGTTCCATTATGAGCTGTGATTGAAATAATGTTTCGAAGTTTTAAAATAAGGAATCCCTTAGAAATGGGCATGTTTCATTTCATGTTCTCACTATCCATGAGGCATTTTACTATAGGTGTTTAAAAAAAAAGGCTGTATTTTTGCAAGTCAGATAGTTTTCAGTGTGTGTGTCTTTTTAATCCAACAATTTATTCCATTTTTTCTGGCTGTAGTCTTGTAACTCATCCCTAAATATAAAATAATGGCTAGTTTTGAAGTCAGAGTGCTATCCAGGAAACCTGGCTGAAATAGGAGATGGTCTTAAAAAACTAAAAACCTAGGGAAGAAGTGAGGTAGATTGCTACCAAGCCCTGTCCTAGCTTCTCCTCCTTTGCCCTGTAAAAACCAAGATCAACATAGATAATAATTGACTGTGCACTATGCTAAGATCTTTACAAACACTCCATTTTATAAAAGAAGTGTTTAAGACTCCTAAGTGTGATTATGTGCCCTATGAGTGGGGGAGCCTGGTTTCCAGGCCACATCTGTAAGGACTTTCACCACTGAAGGAGGTGATGAGGGCCTCAGAAGTGCTGTAATGTTCACAATAGCATAGATGCAGAGAAGATCCAGGGTAATTTAATTATTGGAACAAAATCTCTTTGCTTTCATGTAAAAACAGCAGACAAGGAAATAGGTTTAAATATTTTAATTGGATTTGAATGATGGTCTCCTAATATTAGAAAATCAAACTTAGGGGTAGATGATTGAGAAAGGGAGGCCATCTTGAATCTTTAAAAGTAAGATATTGCTCAAGTTCCTTTTAAATGAGTAAGTTATAGTAAAACTTTGTTCATGCATGATTAGTTTACATAATTGTTTTATTCTATCAATATGTAGATATATAAAATGACTTTTTGCTCTAGAAGAAAGGTCTCCTTCCTGTCACATATAGTAAATTCAATTTCTTTTTTTCCTAAGGCTTAACTTGGGGTGGCTATGAGGAATTACATTATTGTTTCTTGACTAGTGCATTGAAGCATTTGGATGCACAAGGTGACAGCCTTACAGTGTCTTTCAAAAGCCTTAGAGTTGCAGCAGTCCCAGCTCTAGGACTTCATTTGATGAAAACAATCATGATATGTGCAGAAATAGCTTGCTGAAAGTGTGCTTTCCCAGTGTTGATGGCAAAATATTGGGAACAGCCTGAACATCTGAAGAAAATATTATAAGGAGGATGGTACAGTGGATTATTGTGTACCCACTAAATAAGATATTGCAGGACAGTATTTTGAAATGACAGCAAAAAATGTTTACAGTATATTTAATGATAAAGCAGGTCATAGAATGTTATCTAGTATACAGTGCTGACTTTAACTTTGTTTAAAAAAAAGAAAAAGACTACTGGCAAGAAATACAAAAACATGTTGAGAGTGTATTCTCTGGGAAATGAAATTAGAGTAATTGTTATTTTTTTCTTTCTGTTTATCTGTGTTTTTATAATTTTCTAAAGGTGACACAGAGAAATACATGTTAAATGAGAAAAGTCTAAAAATCTAATTTTTTAAAGGAAGACGATCTTAACGTGTGTCATTCTGAGACTTCTTATTGTGGTCCCTCAGTGTTTGAATGTGCGTTGAGGACGATGGTGGCAGGTAACCATGAAACAGCGTTTGAAGTAGTGCAGGTTAGGTGATGCTAGTGCCTGGCCACGACGTGAAAAGAATTGGGAGGCTAATCCAGATGTGTGATGAATGTATTCCAAAGTTGTTATTTTAATGTTCAATCATTATACTTATGTTCATTATTTAAGTGATTAGATTAAAAAGTTTTAAAATAATACAGATAATGTTTTTAAAAACTCAGTCAGTATAGAGGGCCACAGTTCCCACAACTTCTTGTTGCCTTATGCATAATTTGTCTCTCTGTCTCTCTCTTTTTTTCGCTGGGAAAGAGTGGCCCTGACCTAACATCTGTTGCCAATCTTCCTCTTTTTTTTTCCCCCTCCCCAAAGCCCCAGTACATAGTTGTATATTCTAGTTGTAAGTCCTAGTTCTTCGATGTGATGTGCCGCCACAGCCTAGCTACTGACAGACAAGTAGTGTGGTTCTGTGCCCGGGAACAGAACCTGGGCTGGCGAAGCGGAGTGTGCCAAACTTTAACCACTAGGCCATCAGGGCTGGCTTGCCTTATACATAATTTTAGGTAACATTCTTACATCTCTTTGTTCATTCGCTTTACTCATCCAGTCTGTGAGTTGAGCATTAGGGATGTACTTGCTTTCACTTCTCCCCCTTACACCTCTAGACTTTTCTCAGCTATGATGTTGCTTTTAAACGGTCAAGGTTTACCTTCTGTTTTCTAGTTATAATTGCCTTCCATGTTTTATTTATAGGTCTTGTCTAACAAGAACAATAGCATTTATATTTTTATGATAATGGAAATATTGTTCAACAGAGTCATATAAGGTGATCACATGCCAAGAAAAGGAAATATAATTTATGTCACTGGGTTGTTTTTTGCCCCTCAGAGGAAATGATCTAAGTGTTAAAATCAAAATGGATTATCTTTTCTTATACTCCACTGAATTATCTTATATTTTAGTGTGTTTCATATTTGGACTGTAATTTTGTCACTTTTCCCATTCTTTGTAATCTTTTTTGTCCATAGTGTCCTGAAACAGTCAGAGCCCATCTAATTGTGTCTTCATCCTGCTTGACACGGATTGGTCCTTTTCTTCTAGAGTTGTCTTCAACTGTAGAATATCTGTTTTCTCTCTTTGGGCTTCCTATCGGAGGCATTCATTGGATTGTTCATCTGTCTTTTAACTTTTCCCTCACCTTTGTTTTCTTTGTGCTGTTTTCTCAATTTCTTTGGCTTTTTCTTGTATCCTTCTATAAATGTTTGATTTTTATATATGTATTTTTAATTTTCCTGATCTTACACTTGTTTTCCAATGGTTCCTTTTTTAGTAGCTATTCTTGTTTTATGATGATAACATTTTCTCAAAAACTCAAGGCAGTTTTTTGTTTTTAATGCTCTTCTCCTTCCTGAATTATTGCCATTTCATTCTCAAATATCCGATGAAGAATGAGAAATTATTTGGAGTAGGTAGGATAGATATCCTTTGCTATTTTGTATGTAAGAGTTTTTCCTCACAACTAGATAAGAAGGTAGGGTTTTGACCATCAAGTTTTGCTTTCTGAATGTGTTTTGAATTCTAGTTAAGCTCCTCAGATGCCAGAATGAGGAGGGGGCTTTATTCTTGAGCTCTAGTATCCTCACTGGACGCCTTAGCTCCCCTCAGAGAGAGGATGGTCCATTTCCTCAGAACAGTGCCCTGGTTTTTGCCAGATAGTAAAGCCTAATGGCTTTGCTGGAATGCCCTCATTCCTCCCCTACCCACCTGTCCACCCACCTTCCAGGAAAATTCTGAACAGCTCTCTCTGGCTTATCTTTCAGTTGATTAACCTGTTTTCTTTTAGCTATCCACTTCCACTCTCCATTCCTGACAATTCCAACTTAGAAATGTGTCTAGCAGTCTGCTAAGAACATTGGCTCCCACTTGTCTTGTACCCTTGTAACTTTTTCCTGTGTGTATTCTGGACTTCATTTTGTTTTATCTATCAATACTTGCCCATTTGCTGTTTTCTAAAATTTCATTAATATCTCATTTGTTGATGACACCTCTGCATGCCCCCAAACTTCCCTTCACTCATTTAGTAACTGTCATTTGGTGGACATTTTGGAGGGAGGGTAGGCAAATGCAGGCACTCATCCTGCCATCCTTAATTGGAAACTGCTGAAGTAATTTTAGATACACCATTGAACTTCTTATTTTTACTTATCTGCCCTTTATCTAGCTCAGCACCGTGTGGACCCTGAATAATATGTTGAAAAAATAACCCAAAGTCATCAGATGTACTGACTGAAAATGATTTAACCCTTTAGGATCCAAGAGCTGATGTCTGACGATCAGCGAGAAGCAGGTCGGATTCCACGGACGATAGAATGTGAGCTTGTTCATGATCTGGTGGATAGCTGTGTCCCGGGAGACACAGTGACTATTACTGGAGTTGTCAAAGTCTCAAACGCTGAAGAAGGTTTGGTATAACTCTTTCCTCATTTTGATTGTCCCTCAGTAATTTGTCAGCCTCTGTCTTTTCTCTTTTTAAGATACTGCTGAATCTCTACTAATTTAGGAAATTCCTTGTTTTTACATAAGGTGAAACTTTTCCTCCAAAATAAATGTTTATTTGTAGCTCACTGTGCCTTTCTTTTACATTCTACTTGAATCTTTGTAGGGAAAATGAAAGTACCAATTATTTGTTATTTTGTGCTTTGAAATTCACAGGTTCTCGAAATAAGAATGACAAATGCATGTTCCTGTTGTACATTGAAGCAAATTCTGTTAGCAATAGCAAAGGACAGAAAACAAAGGCTTCCCAGGATGGGTGTAAGCACGCAACAATGATGGAGTTCTCACTTAAAGACCTTTATGCCATCCAAGAGATTCAAGCTGAAGAACGCCTGTTTAAACTCATTGTCAAGTATGTGTGAGGTTATCTGAAGTTTTCTTACAAATGTGCATGTTGGGGGTGCTCTTGGCTTAGTAACAAAAAACCAGTTAAAATGGTTGCAAACTATTATTCATGGGCCAAATCCAGCTCACCACCCATGAGCTAAGAATGGTTTTGACAGTTTTTAGTAGCTGAAAAAAATCAAAAGAGGAATATTTCATGACCCACAAAATTATATGAAATTCAGATTTCAGTGTTTGCAGATAAACTTTTATTGGAACACAGTGTAGGGGAGGAAGACATTTCCTCTACCCTCTCTGGCTGGAGAACGAATTAAATTCACATGAGGCAGAATAGCAGGAGAAAATTAAACAAAGCTTTATAAGATGTATACATGGGAGAGGCTCAGGCAAGCTGAGCAACTCGCCAAAATGGCTGAAGCCCCCACCTTAAATATCATGTCCAGCTAAAGACAAAGAAGGATGTTGGGGGTGGGGGGAGTCAGTTACAGGAGGTTACCAGAAACAGGAATAAGATTATTATGCAGATTTAAGTCTTTGCATTCTGTATTGATAGGAGTTTCTAGAGATAAGGTCATCCCCATTCTTCCTGGCACAGAGAGGGAGGCACCTTTATAGATGGAGATTTCCTTTACAATGTAAATGTCTCCTAACAAAGGGCAAGCAAGTTCTACTTTTCAGTTGCTTTCCTGTCTGCAAAGTAACCAGGCCTAAATAATCATCATACCAAAGAGACATATCTTGGGGTGGCCAATTCCAGGCCCCCACAACAGCCACAGTCATTCATTTATGTAGTGTCTGGCTGCTTTTGACCTGCAACAGGAGAGTTGAGTACTGACAACAGAGAACCAATGGCTCATAGATATTTACTGTCTGGTCCTTTACTGGAAAGTTTGCTGATCTCTAGTTTAAACAATATTTACTGTGTCCCACAAGAAGTTGGTTACTCAACAGAAGAGTAATGGGACTGTGAATTCCAAAGCGATTTCAGTTAGTTGTGTGTATATATGTAGGAGGTGGGTTAAGTTTTCTTATTTTATTGTGGTAACATTCGTATATAACATTAAGTAACTTCCAGGTAAACAACATTATAATTTGACATCGGTATATACTACAAAGTAATCACCACCAAAAGGATTTTTACTTTTAAAAAGCAGAGAAGATTCACTTAGAAATCATTTACATTGAATAAGTATTTCATAATGATGAGGATTATTTTAGGCTGTTTACCTTTAAAACTGCAGATGAGAAGGAAGCTCTGAGGACTGGAATTAGCTTGCCCTTTGATAAGAGACATCTGCATTTGTGAAGGAAGTCTCCATCTGTGGGGGTGTCTCCCTCTCTGCACCAGGAGGAAGGTGGGATGGCCTTATCTCTGGAAACTCTTAATGGGGAAGGCAAGGACTTAAGTTGTTTACTGTCTGGTAACCTCATGTAACTGACCCCCCCCCCAACATCCTCCTTTGTCTTTAGCTGAAGATAATAATTAAGTGGTGGCTTCTGCCATTTACTTAATCTGGTTTGATTCTTATCTAAAAGTTATTGGACCACCCAATAACCAGAGCCTACCCGCACTGATACCATCTTAACAACTCTTTTTACATATTCTTTCCTTTGTCTTGTAAAGAGATAACTCACATAACTATGCCTTAAATTTAGCCTTACTCTCCACCCATGTTTGCAGCATCAGCAGCGGTGGCAGCAGCAGTTTCTCCTGCCTGTGGGTCTTGTCCCCACACAGCATCTCTGACTGCCCATGGGTCCTGTCCCCATGCTATTCCACACTAGTCTCTAAATAAAAGAACACTACTGCTAGACCTTGAGAGTCCAAGAAATCTTTCTTTCGACTCCTTGGCTCACCGAACCCACATCAATAATATTCTTTTATTTCCATGTTATTGCCACGCAGTAGAGAAGAATGAAAGTAGAGGCACTTTTGCTTTAGAGGTGAGGAGGTTTTTTGAGGACTAAGTTGGAATCCTGTGTTAGCCACTTCCAGTGTGATCTGGGGGACCTAATTTCTCCTTCATTTTATCACCTTAAAATGGAAATTATAATACCTACCTTAGAAGACTGTTTTGAAGATTAACTGAGATTTTATAATGTAGCTAACATAATTAATACAATGTGCTGTTATTTTGATAGTTTTTTGACAATTTTTGGGATAATTTTGAAGAAATAGGGGAAACGAGAGTGACCAAATAGTAGCTGTACCTAAGAGAGGTAGAGAACTGAGGTTTTGAAATGCATTGTATTAGAAAAATTGATTTTGTCATGCTTTCCTGTTTATCTAGGCTGTGGGCTCCAGGAGAATTTGACACTTTTTCTCTCTGCCTATAATATTTCAATTAGCTGACTGAGGAAAGTATAAGTTCCTCAGGAGTTCTTTGTCCTTATACCCTCAGAGACTTTCTGTGAATAGATCGCCATCAAACCCACCCTGGGAGAGGGTGCTGTGAGCTAGGGTGGGAGTGTGATAGGTGATGGTGTGGTGAGGTCTGTGAGCAGGGGCTGAGGAGCAGCTGGATTGAGGATCAAAGTACCTCTTTGATTGGTTCCTCATACCAGTTATAAGTAAAAATGAACGTTTGCAGTGCTCCTTCTTCTGCCATACTTGTGGAAGATGAGTTAGTACCAAAATCTTGGTTTTCTTCCCACAGTTTGCTTTTACCTTTTAGTTCTAAGTTTGTGGTTTCAACATCAAAACTAGAGTTTCTCATGGTCCTCCGTTTGTTAATCTTGCAGGGATTGGCAAACTAGGCAGGCTGCCTGTTTTTGTAAATAAAGTTTCATTAGAACACAGCCCCATTTACATATTACATGTTACATATCATTTACATATTGTTGATGGTTGCCTTCACGCAAGTTGAGTAGTTGTGAGCAAGACAATTAAACTGAAAACATTTACTTGCTGGTCCTTTAAGAAAAAGTGGGTTGACCCTTGCCAGGTTAACAAAAAATGAAGGACCATGAAAGGAGAATGAAGAAGACAGTGGAAGGTTATATTTTAGTTGAGGTTCCTTCAGGATCAGTGATTTGGGTAAGCGTAGAATATTTGGGAGGTGATTCCCAGAGATACTGGTAGGGGAATGGTGAAGTAAGACAGAGAAGGAATGGCAGTCAATGTATGTGCCTTAATGAACAGGTTACTACTGGCATCCGGGCATTAATCCCTCTGAGGCCTCTGGGACACTAGACTGTGTAGAACTAACCTCGGTATTTTTCCACCTAAGGGTCTAGATTTGGGGCTGCTCCTGGGAACATTAGCCACCCCAGCACTTCCAGCCTGCCCAGCCTGTCTGCTGACGATGCTTCTGTGGCCATAGAGAGCCATTCAGCAGACACGTGCAGTGCTTGCTAGGAAGCCAACAGTGATTATGCAGGAACATGCTGAACAATGAGTGCCAAGGGCATGTGGCAGGACATCAACTTCTGGGTTTACATAATTAAAAGGGGTGATGATTCTTAGTCTCCTCCTGATTGTATCTCTTCCACCCTGTTCATTTTTGTTTGTTCCTTGTTTATACAATTGATAAATATAAATATACTTTATATTCATATGTGGTCCTATTTATTCTCATCCTTTGAATTCAACTGAAAAAATGAGATTTTATCTTAAAATATTATGTACTCAGTTCACTCTTTAGTGTCCGTCTTTCAATGACTTGCGTGCACAGGTCTAAAGATGTTTGTTTACATAAAATACAATATAATTCTGTATCCTATAGTGGAAGATCATAATTATGATGCATTTTAAAGGTTAGTAATGTAAAAATATCAACAGTTTACATGGTTACTTTAAAATGCTTTGCAAATATCCTGTCTCCCTTACACAGGCACAATTTTTAGAGCATTCTTCTCTTTATAGATTAACCAAGAATTTTCTGTTAGAATAAAATTTGTTGAGTTGTTTGAGGAGATGCAAATTTTTTATTTTTGTCTCTTTTTGATGCTAAATAAAGCAAGTTAAGCAAATTGTAAAGTATATCTTCTAATACATCAATGAAGTGTAAATTAGAATTTATAAGTTGTATTCTGTTTTTCAGCTCGCTTTGTCCTGTCATTTTTGGCCATGAAGTAAGTATTTTACTTCATTTTTGCTCAAAAATATATAAAATCGACAATGATAAAATATAAGTAGTTCACAAAAAATAGCTAGTTTCTGTTGGCCAGTTATGCATATTTTAATATGACTCGTTGTGCTCCGTAAATAAATGATGTGAAAGGCAAACTACAGCCCCTTGTAATGAAAAGCTGCTTACTGACTAAAGTTAATAGGAATGGGCTTTTTGAAGTGACTCTGGACACTGTAAATGTTAAAGCAGAAGCTAACAAATATTTTTCATTTTTGTGGAATGGATTCATGCCTTGTCAGGTAGGTCTTCACTCAGCGACTTTTAAGATACTGCTCTGATTTTATGTGCTTTCTAGTTTTTGCTTTTTAATCATTTACATTATAGAAGTTTATGTTATTAGACTTACTTTCCTTAGAAAAGGAGTAAAGTTCAATCACACTTTGAAAAAAAACCTTGAAACAAATAAATGTTGTAAACATAGAAGGAGGAGCAGGAGCAGCCCTCTTGCTAGTCATCTTTATGTCTTTCTCACTTCCGGTTTTTCTTTTCTTCTTCTTTCACACTTGAGCTTGTTAAAGCAGGTTTGGCATTAGCGCTCTTTGGCGGAAGCCAGAAATATGCAGATGACAAAAACAGAATTCCAATTCGAGGAGACCCACATGTCCTCGTTGTGGGAGACCCAGGCTTGGGAAAGAGTCAGATGCTACAGGTAGGAGGTCAATCATTTAGTATTTGAGCTTTTGCTTATAAAATGCGTGAATTTTCTCAAAGCACATAGTGATTATGCTCCAGAGGATATAGTTTGTCTGGCGGGATAAGTGAATTGGGGTTTGTGTGAGTAGTATGTAACTTGTATCTGACCAACCTTTCAAATTGAGCCAGTCGTCTGTCACACAGGCTGCACGGGCATGCTGATGTGTGGAGACATCAACCATTATGAAACATTAGCCATTTCTCTAACCCCTTCTTTTGTATCCAGCATTGCTTGGCTAGTCTTTGTTGTTGTGACCTTACCTATGAACAGAGCAGTTCAAGAAAGTAAAGCAGGGTCCTCTATTCTCTCTTCACACAACTGCATGCATACTGTACTGGGCTTTAAGAACAGTCTGATAAGGGTAAGAGATTGGTCCATATACATCTCTACTGCATCCGAGTCCAAAGCAAGGCAACTTCTGTGACCAGTCCATTGTTGGTCCCCAAGAAGTTTCTGCCTCTGCCAGTCGGAGCCTGGTGATTCTTCCCTCCAGGGCTTATGATGGCCCTAGAAGTTGCTGCTTGTTCAAATGCTTATGGTTTCCTTGGAATGACACTGGAAAGCAAGACATAATGTCCTTTCTAAGAATGCCCATGTTCTCCCTCCATACCCCCTTGCCCGATGTAGAAAAATGTGACCAGACCAGGGGCTTCCTGGCTCTTTGGTAAATTTTAGTCCTGTGGCCACTGAATCTTTGTCCAAGTGCTGGGAACCCTGGCTGCGTGTCAGAGTCACCTTTGGAGTTCTTTGAAAATACTGTGGCCTACCCCAGGCCAATTGAATTAAGAGTCTCTGGGTTAGGGTCCTAGTGTCTGTGTGTAGAAACCTCCATAGGTGATTCTGATGTGCAGTCAGGATTGAGAACTGCTTTGATCTAGTCGTACTGTAAACCCACTGTCCTTCGTGACAGAGTGATTCTTTATTTCCTGTGATTGAGTATTAAGCCAGTCATTTTAATTCCTAATCTGACATTTAATCCATGTTTCCATATTTTGTTCCTAACTGGACATACTTTTTAGAAAAAAAATTCTGTTCTGTGCCCTTGCTACAAGCCTGACAACTAAGGCACAGAGTACTCAGTTGTAGGCGAAACAAAGTTGATGATAAAAATGATGAAAAATAAAAAATAGCCAGGATATGCATGCAAAGGGTGCATGTGGGGATCTGAATTGTTACAGAGTTCTTTTCTGTCCTTTGTAGCATTGTGTGTCTGTGACTTTTGCATTGCAGTCACGGGTTGCTGAAGGACACGGATATGTTCTGAGAAAGGCGTCACTAGGTGGCTTCGTCATTGGGCCAACATCATAGACTGCCCTTCCACAGCCTAGGTAGCATAGCCTACCACACACCTAGGCTCTATGTACTACTCTTAGAGGACCAACGTCATATACATGGTCCATTGTTGACTGAAACGTCATTATGTGGTACATGACTATTGAGTTTCTCTCTCTTTATTACTCATCACCTTTGGAATTGATCACAACAATATTAAAGCTGCTTATTCTGAACTGAATATCAAAGATGTTGCTTTCGTGGGTCACTATCATCTCTAAAAATAGGTACCCTAAAAAGGAAGAGCCAAATAAATGAGGTTACCAGTGGGAAGAATATAAGAGCCTTGGAAACTAGAAAGTGGCTGCAACAAACCAATCAGCACATGAAAACCTCAAACAACAGTAATTAGAAGTAAAATAGGAGCTCAGTATTGGCCTGATAATAAAAATTATAGCTGCCACTTAATTTGGCATCTACTAAATTGCGAGCACCATAATTTCATGATTTCACTCAATCTGCGTAACATGAGGTAGGTGGCATTCATGTTTTACAGATGAGGAAATGGAGGCTTTCCCAGAGGTCGCCTTAGATCACACAGATTGTTGCTAACTTCAGAACCTGTTCTCTCTCTTTTTTTTAATGTATGTAATTTTTTATATTGTACATAATATTTTTATATATCTTTTTTTCTGGGGAGAGGCTCCATAGATGTCATAAGCTCCTTTAAGGGGTTCCTAGTGAAAAGAAACTCTAAGAACCATTAAAACTCCTCAGTGAGTTCAGTGCATTTATTGTGAAGAACAAAGTCACTCTGAGATAGTTTGGCGAATCAATTGAATGAATAAATGTGGAAAACCTAGATAGATAAGTAAAATTCTGATTCAACTAACATATCAAGTTCCCATTATATACCAGCCATACAGATTATATAGTACTGTTTCTCAATGTAGAATAATATAGGAACACCTTGTAAGAATTGTTGTGTATAGCCAATGTGATAAATTGTTTTTTATTATAAAGTTATCCTTATGAGCTATGTGCAAGTAGAAAACTTGATGTAACCTCATGCTGATAGCTCTTTTTAAGTATTAAACTGAAAACATAGAAATTAAAATGTTTAAAATGAATAACATTAATTTTAATGTAACAAAGAATATTATTTTGCTGAGCCTAAATCATCATCATTAATAGAGCACAGATTTATTTTAGTTTGGGATACCTGTATTGCTAAGTGATGATTCAATTTTCCCACTAGTTTTCTCTATTATAGTTTTTTTTTTTAAGTGAGGAAGATTGGCCCTGAGCTAACATCTCTTGCCAATCTTCCTCTTTTTGCTTGAGGAAAATTGTTCCTGAACTAACATCTGTGCCAGTCTTCCTCTGTTTTGTGTGTGGGATGCTGCCACAGCATGGCTTGACGAGTGGTGCATAGGTTCTCATCCAGGATCAAACCCACGAACCCTGGGCCACCAAAGCAAAGCAGGCAAACTTAACCACTACACCACTGGGCCAGCCCCTATTATAATTTTTTTAAAACCTTTGTTCCAGAATCAAGCAGTCACAATGTTTGACCTTTCCCTGGCATGTATGCATCATTTGTTTGTTTCTATTCTTTACTGTGGCCCAGGGGAATTTAAGTTTTCTAGTTTGGCTCCAACTCAGTTATAAACGCAAACAAAAACATGGGCATTCAAATCAGGTGGAAGTATTATATAGTGGTCTTCCCTGTGAACCAAAGTATGGTTATATTAATTTTTAAATTATTTTTGAAATGAAATTTCAGAAATAAAGGTTTTTGATGAGAAATCACAAGATAATCAAGAATATGTTAGTGAGTCACCAGGGATTTGAGAAGCAAAGGTTAAGAGCTTGGGGGTTTAGAATAGCTCAGACCTGGAGTTTCATCCAACTAAAAACGTTCAAGCTGAGTACCCTTAGGCAAGATGCTTAACCTCCCCAAGCCTCAGTTTTGTTACCTGAAAATTGTATGTAGAAATATTACTATGCCTTTCAGGGTTGTTAAAATTTTTATGAGGTGACCTGTGTAAATGCTTAGCATAATGTATGGAATGAACCAAACACACAAAAAATAGTAGTTGCTGTGATGATGAAGAGAGAAGCATAATGATTAAGGGAGCATCTGAGAGGGAAAATGCAAGAAAATGGTAGACTATAAATGGCCATTTAAAAAAACAACACAAACATAGATGTGCTAGCTAGCTGTTCCATATTTTCTGTTAAGAAAGATAAATCAGGGGCCAGCCTGGTGGCATAGTGGTTAAGTTCATGCATCTCCTTCGGTGGCCTGGAGTTCATGGGTTTGGATACTGGACACGGACCTACACACCACTCATCAAGCCATGCTGTGGCAACATCCCACATACAAAAAAATAGAGGAAGATTGGCACAGATGTTAGCTCAGGGACAATCTTCCTCAAGCAAAAAGAGGAAGATTGGCAAGAGATGTTAGCTCAGGGCCAATCTTCCTCACCAAAAAAAACGAAAAGAAAAGAAAAAGAATAGTATTATTTTTAAAAAATACAGTTATGTCGCTTAACAATGGGGATACATTGTGAGAAACGTGTCATTAGGTGAGTTTTTCGTTATGCAAACTTCATAGAGTGCATTTACAGAAACCTAGATGGTATAGCCTGCTACACTCCTAGGCTCTATGGTACTAATCTTATGGGACCACCTTCGTATATGTGGTCCCTCATTGACCAAAATGTTGTTACGCAGCACATGACTGTAGTGTATGATAGGTGGATGCATGGTTTAACTCCAAAGTGTCTGATTATCTGTAAAATAAAATCTTATAATTTAATTTATACATTATCCTTACAGTATATAAAACTTCATTTTGCTCTCTTACTCCTTTTTTATTTAAGAAATGCATCTTGGCAGATAATGGTTCCAAAATACATTCAATGATACTGAAAAAGTTTTAATACCAAGAAATGACATTGGAAATTTTTCATACCTGGAATAATGCCTTTAAAACCCCTGGCTCAATTTAAAAATAGAAGCTGTAATATTAGTGGAAATAAAATGTTGTAAATAATGGAGGGTATGGCATGTGAGTCTGCTAGCCCCACTAAGCCAGGGTTTTTGAAAATTAGCTAACACTGACAATTGAGTCATTTACTTTATAATCCCATTTTCCTCTGACCATTTGGTAAACCATTGTGCTCTCAGACTAACAAATAAGGAATTACCAGTAACAAAAATAATGATCACTCCTGTTGATAAGCCAGTGCCAGAGGGTCACTTGGGTCATGCACTGCACAAGTCCAGAGCTCACTGTAGATCACATGTGAGTGCTGTCTCCTGGAGTTGGGCAGTGTGCAGCCATGTACAGCGGCCTCACATTGGACACTTAGTATGTGCCAGGTACCAGGTTAAGTGCCTCAGATGCATCTCATTTATTCCTAAGAGCAATATGTGAGAAAACATCTGAAGCCGAGGCTCAGAGAGATCTGAGAACAGCACCGCCAGTACATGGTGAGCCAGGAGTAAAACAGGTCTGCCTGACTCCAGAGGTCCATGCTTTTAACTGTTGTGCTACTTAACTACCTTGACCTGCTGTAGCTTATTTACCCAGAAGGTGAGCATCATTGAGCCATTTTATTACCTGAAGTTTAAAAAAGCACTGGAGCCTTTGAAATTAAAATGACTACTGACGTTTTTACTATTTGAACTTGAACATGAAGCATAAAATGGAATTGTCTAGTGTATTCACATGACCACAGACATCAGCGTCAGGCTGCCTGGGCTTGATTGAATCCAGACTTCGCACCTTCATGGCTGTGAGTCACTCACTCTCTCCTGGCACTGGCTTCTACATCAGTAAACAGGGATGTATTGATACCTTCCTCTTACCGTGGTGGTGAAGATTATACAGTAAAGCACTTAGGGCAATACCTGACATATAGGTACCATTTGTGAGCAATTACTAGTAGCTATTATTTCCCTTTAACTTTGGCTGATTGTCTTAAACTTTTTGCTTCCTTAGGCAGTATGCAACATTGCTCCACGTGGCGTGTATGTTTGTGGTAATACCACGACCACCTCTGGTCTGACTGTAACTCTTTCAAAAGATAGCTCCTCTGGAGATTTTGCTTTGGAAGCTGGTGCCCTGGTACTTGGTGACCAAGGTAAGAGACCAAAGGGAATAGTGGTAATTCTGGGGCTTATGTTTTCTTTTTTAAGACTTTTCCTTTCTAAATGATTTTTTTACATTCTGTTCAAAAGGCATTTGGACAGCACTGTCCCAAAACAGTGAGTTGAGAATAAGTGCCAGAAAAAAATCACTAGAAATACAGTACTGTCCTTTTTATTTGTACTGCAGAATTGAAACTGGTACTTAATGTCATTCATTTTCTGAATCTTGCAGCAGATGCAATTATATGTAAAAATTAAATAATCAGGTCAGATAGTTATATAGCTCCCTACACTTCCCGTTTCATACCACCCATCACATTTGTGATCATTGTTTTAAAGCCTTATAGTAAGTTCCGTGTGGGGTGGGATTTGGTTATCTTGTTGACTGCCATATTCCTATTACCTAGTGCATAGGTGCACAGTGAATACTTGTTACATACATTACTGATACTTAGTTCAGAAGAGTTCTAGATGCCTTGGAACTGAAAAGAAGGTAAATGTTATCCTTTGCTCTCAGAGGACTTGCCATCAGAGTGTAGAGCTGTTACTTTAGAATTAGAAGTTTTGCTATATTTTAACTTATCTCATTGGGGTGTTTTTAGGATTTGACTGATTGTTTATAAGAAATCCAATTGGAGGGCTCAGTAAGAAGAGATCTCCAGTTGGGCTTTGCTACCTAAGTTTCTCTTTGTGATGCTGTAACTCTATTGAAAAAACATGTTCTTACACATGTGTCAGGCAGTGTCCAGATTCCAGGCCAATTAAGGTCATTCATTCCTTCCAGTTTGGCAGGGACCTCCGCATTTCTAAATCCAGTACCTGTCAGCCACGTCTGACACAGCTGATCACTGCCCCCTCCATGAAATACTTTATCTCCTTGGTTTCCAGTACACTGCAGTCTTCTGGTTTTCTCCTTACTCATTCAATATTCCTTCTCAGTCTTTGCTTGTTTTTCATCTCTCCACTTCTTCATTTCTTCACTGCTTGGCACCTCAGGGTGCTTAGTCTTCCCACCTTTTCTCTTCTCGGTCTGTACTCACCTTCATGGTGGTTTTTTTTTTTTTTCAAAAACCCTCTTCTTCTTCTTTTTTTTTTAAATTATATATAGCCTTTCCAGCTTTTTAAAAAAATTTTTTAACCCTGAGCTAACATCTGTCACCAATCCTCCTCTTTTTTTTTTCCTCCTCAAAGCCCTAGTACATAGTTGTATATTCTAGTTGAAAGTCCTTCTACTACTTCTGTATGAACCGCTGCCACAGCATGGCTGCTGACAGATGAGCGGTGTGCTTCCGCGTACCTGCGAATGGAACCCAGGCTGCTGAAGTGGAGCGCACCGAACTTTAACTGCTAGGCCATCAGGGCTGGCTCACCTGCATAGTGATTTTATCTAGTCTCATGGCTTTACCTACCTATATGCTGAAAATCTCCAAATTTATATTTCTTCTCTCTTTAGCTCCAGACACATACTTCTTATTGCCTATGCAGTGTCTCCACAACTTTCTCAATCTTAACATGTCTTTTCTGTGCTATATCCGGCATGCCTACAACATAGTGCTGATATACATAAAAGGTATTCAGTACATATTTGCTGAATGAATAAATTCAACAGACATTTATCTGGTTATCATATAGCTCATTAGAAATGACAGTACTTTTGCTAAGTTACTGGGTGAAGAAATGATAAGAGGAGGATACTCATTGTTAAACTATCAGGTTTTCCATTAATGAGAAGTTGAGGGGGACATGGGGTTTAGCTATAGAGATAACTAATGGGATTTAAGATGGAGAATGTTAGGAGCCCACTCCCATCTCTTTCAAAAATAGGTAGGTAAGCCAAGCACTAGGATGGTGAAAGGAGCACTGTTAAAATATGAAAGATTATTAGTTGGCAGAGACCGAATTCTAGAAACAAATAACAGGGTCCTGCTGAAATCTTTACTGAAGATTTATAGGGATAAAAGGAGAACTATAGCTGTTTTATAATATTTCTTTTCTTTAATATCTGATGAAATGACCAAAAAATTGTTTTTCAGAAAATGACAAGATGTTTAAACTTTATGCTTTAAAACCAGGGGTCTGCAACTTTAGTCCACAGGTCAACCCAGCCTTCAACGTATTTTAGCACAGTCCACAAGCCAAAATGGCTCTTATATTTTTAAAGGATTGTAAAGAACAGCCAAAAAAACCAAGAACATGTGACAGACTATATGTGACCCACAAAATGTACAGTATTTTCATCTGCCCCTTTACAGAAAAAGTGTACCAACTCCTGCTTTAAACTTTGAAAAGTGACAGTAGAAGAAAGAAGTAGCTTGACTGTGTTCCTAGCCTATCCCCTCCTCTGAGAAACTGTACTAGTAATCTTGAGAATTTCCAGTAATACTGTCAATTTCAGAGAGGCATGGACTGACCTTGAGCTGGTGTGGCTTACTTTGTCGTAAAGTAGATATAGAGGGTTTAAACACAGCAAAGCCCTCTGGAGATGACCACCTAATTTCTTATGATATGAGGAAGAGGGGAGCAAAACTATTGCAAGGTAATGTCAAGGGTCTCTAGTAACCTGTGGATTAGACATAATGTACCTGGCACATAAAATGCCTTTGTCAGTGGTGGGTCTTCGTATTATGTTTAAAGAGGTTAAGTGGTTTCCCGACAGTTGTGCAGTCGATACCTGGTATTGCTGAGAACTGTACTTGAGTCTTCTAACTTTCGAGCCCATGCTTGTCTTCCCAAATCATGCTGCCCTACTTTTCCCAAAAAGCCCAGCTCAAATAGCACCTTTTATGTGAAGTTTTCCTAGCTTTTAACGTCCTCCTACCCCCAGAAAACTCATCTTGTATAATTAGGCATATTATGCTTGTTGAAATATACTATCTTGAATGTGTATATATCTTATCTCACCTATTTGAATTTAAGTCTTTAAGCTTTTTGAGGGTCACTGACATACCTTCTTCATTTCTGTAACCCCCACAACCATAGTGCCTTGCCTACAGAAAATGCTGAATGAGTAAATACATAAAAGTTAGTTAAACAAGACAAGTGTTTTATTTTCTGCAAAACAAGCAGAAATTCTCTACTGTGTGACATTTTGTAGTTTTAACTGCTGGAAACAAATGGAAATAATTTTTTTTTAAGATTTTATTTTTCCTTCTTCTCTCCAAAGCCCCTCGGTACATAGTTGTATATATGTTTAGTTGTGGGTCCTTCTGGTTGTGGGATGCCGCCTCAGCATGGCTTGATGAGTGGTGCTAGGTCTGCACCCAGGATCTGAACCTGATAAACCCTGGGCTGCTGAGGTGGAGCACACGAACTTAACCACTCAGTCACAGGACTGGCCCCAGGAAAGAATTTTTAATTTTTTAATTTTTTAATTTTTTATTGAGTTCATGCTAGTGTACTTCAATATGAGATTTCAGTTGTACATTATTTCTTGACTGTCACCACATAAGTGCTCCCCTTCACCCCTAGTGCCCCCAACCCCCTTTCCCCTAGTAACCACTGAACTGTTTTCTTTGTCCCAGTACTTGTTTATATTCCACATATGAGTGAAATCATCTGGTGTTTATCTTTCTCAGACTGGCTTATTTCACTTAGCATAATTCCCTCTGGGTCCTTCCATGTTATTGCAAATGGAATGAATTTATCTTTTTTCTGGCTGAGTAGTATTCCATTGTATATATATATACACCATATCTTCTTTATCCAATCATCAGTCGATGGGCACTTGGATTGCTTCCATGTCTTGGCTATTGTGAATAGTGCTGCAATGAACAGAGGGGTGCACATGTAACTTTGGATTGTTGATTTCAAGTTGTTTGGGTAGGTACCCAGTAGTGGGATAGCTGGGTCATATGGTAGGTCTATTTTTAGTTTTTTGAGGAATCCCCACACTGTTTTCCATAGTGGTTATACCAGTCTGCATTCCTACCAGCAGTGTGTGAGGGTTCCCTTCTCTCCACACCCTCTCCAACGTTTGTTATTTTTAGTCTTAGTGATTATAGCCATTTTAACAGCTATAAGGTGGTATCTTAGTGTCATTTTGATTTCCCTTTCCCTGATGATTAGCAATGTTGAACATCTTTTCATGTGTTTATTGGCCATCTGTATATCTTCTTTAAAAAAATGTTTGTTCATCTCCTCTGCCCACTTTTTGATTGGATTGTTTGCTTTTTTATTGTTCATTTGTGTGAGTTCCTTATATATTGTGGAGATTAACCCCTTATCAGATATGTGATTTGCAAATATTTTCTCCCAATTGGTGGATTGTCCCTTTGTTTTGATCCTAGTGCCGGAAATAATTTTTTATTGTAGGGTAACTTCCGTCTTGTAGGGTTTGAAACTTGACCAAAGGAACATTGTCTGTGTGTGTGATTTTACTGTGATTGTAGGTATCTGTGGAATAGACGAGTTTGATAAGATGGGGAATCAACATCAAGCCTTGTTAGAGGCCATGGAGCAGCAAAGTATTAGCCTTGCTAAGGCTGGCGTGGTCTGTAGCCTCCCTGCAAGGACTTCCATCGTTGCTGCTGCGAATCCTGTTGGAGGACACTACAACAAAGCCAAGACAGTCTCCGAGAATTTAAAGTAAGGCTCTGCAGGTATTCATCCCTTTAGTAGACCGAGTCCCTATAAATCTGTAAGAAAACTGAGGACATAAGGAATAGTTCACGGAAGTTACAAGTTTCCAATAAATGTCTGAAAATATGTTTGAATACTACAAATTAAAACAACAAAGTACCATTGATATCTACTAGATTGGCAAACATTTTAAATATTAATAATCATTATTGGCAAAGGAGTAGGGAAGTGAGTTCTCAATTTAGCATTTTGAAGGACAATTTGGCGTGTTTATCACTATTTTAAATGTGCATTCTGTTCCAGCCAATTCTACTTTTAGGAAGCGTACTCACAGAAATAGGCATACAAGTGCACAAAGATGTGTTTACAGGGTGGGTATTACAGCATTGTTTATCACTGCCAAAGACTGGAAACAACTTAAAATGCTCATCGATAGGGAAGTAGTTAAACTATAGAGTAAGACCCTACAGCGGAAAGTAGCAGTTACGAGAATGAAAGCAGCTTTGTGTATACTGACAGGGGAACATGTCTGTGCTTTTCTGTTAAGTGAAAAGAGCACATTACATACTTATATATGTGGTATGATCCCCCATTCCCCCCAAAAAATGTTTCTATTTGTATGCTTTATCTTCTAATTTCTATATAATTTCTATATACTGTATAATTTCTATATACTAATTTCTAACAGTTCTGTACAGGTTGGACAAAATGTATGGGAAGGAGAAAATAGATTCAAGTGACGCAAAAGTGAGAAAAACACAAAAGAATGCCTTGTATGAAGAATTGGAACCTAAAATTCCAGTGGAGGAAAAACCCTAATTTCCTAATGTCTACCTTTAATATAGAAATGGTACATAGTAAAGTACACAATTGTACTTTGAAGTTGTGGGTATTTCTGTACCAGCACTACCAAAAGAATCAGTCTATTAGTTTTTCTTAGTGAAATGATGAAGTGCTGTATTAGAAAGATCCTGTTGAACAAGGATCCAGGGGACTTGGATTTTGGTTTTTGGTGGTACCACTGGAACGTCGGTCAAATTCTTTAATTAGTCGGAATTTCAGCTTTTTTGTCTCAAATAGAGGAGTGATCTGATTGGTAGACTCAGAGAAGATGACTAAGTAGAATACAGCATTTTTATTTTAATGACTAATAGACATATGGATGCCCCTTTAAGAAAAACTTGTCTTTTTGCTTCTAAATGGGCATAGATGCTTTGAGGGACTCAATGTTTTGGTGAGACCAAAGATATAAAAGATAAAGAATTACCTGACTAGATAACCTCTTATGTATCATGTAGCATTCTAGCTTAAAAATTTACTGATCCTAAATCTTACATAGTGATATAGAATGTCAAGAAGAATTCAGTGGTTTTGATGGTGTGAGAAAGGGCATGTCCTTGACATACCAAAAGTCAGTACGTATAAGGCTGTGCACATGTTGAAAGGCATGTGGCTTAGTGTCTCTCTGGAGTTAGTGGGTGTATTGAATCCAAAAGCTATTGCTTGTTTTCTTAGCCTAGAGCTTGATTTTCTTTTTAAGTTCGACATGGAACTTGAATAGTAAACAATGAATAAACAGTTTTCTAGGTTTTTGTTTGTTTTGATTCCAATCACTGTTTTTTCTTTCTTTCACACCTCTTAGAATGGGGAGTGCCCTACTATCCAGATTTGATTTGGTCTTTATCCTGTTAGACACCCCAAATGAGGATCATGACCATTTGCTCTCTGAACACGTGATTGCAATTAGAGCTGGAAAGCAGAGAACTGTTAGCAGTGCCACAGTAGCTCGTATGAACAGTCAAGATCCAAATACTTCTGTCCTTGAAGTGGTTTCTGATAAACCATTATCAGAAAGACTAAAGGTATAAATGCTTCTTCTCCTTAATCGTTCAGTTTGCTTCTGTTTGAGCGTCAGTGTTGCTAGTTGTGGAACAGTAGTAATAAACTTTCATACCAAAACCTTTCATGTTATAAAACTAGAGTTTATGTAAACTTCAGTTGAAATCATCAAAGTCAACTAGACCGAGAGCTAGAGCTACAGTGTTTGGCTTATTTGGAGAGTCTTTTAGAATGTATTTATCTAAATAAGTTATTTTAGCAGAAAGATTTCATTTGCAACTAACTTATCCTTGTAATCTTGGGCCTTTTTATCATGCTCTAGGTGGTTCCTGGAGAAACAATAGATCCGATTCCCCACCAGCTGTTGAGAAAGTACGTTGGTTACGCTCGGCAGTATGTCTATCCCAGGCTCTCCACAGACGCGGCTCAAATTCTTCAGAATTTTTACCTTGAGCTCCGGAAACAGAGCCAGTGGTTTAACAGCTCACCAATCACTACTAGGCAGCTGGAATCTTTGATTCGTCTAACAGAGGTTTATTTATTTTAAGTTCATACTTTTTTGGCTTAAAAAGAGGGGCAGGGGATAATATGGTTTCTCTCAGTTTTTTGTACAATTGATTTGGTTTTTCTTCTATGCAACATTTTTTTTACCTTGAGTGACACTTTGGAGACTCCCAAAGTATGAAGAGTGGTTAGGTTAACTATGGATTTGGGGATTCAAAGTTGAGTATGTGGGAACATGGACTATGTCAAATAGCTTGAGTATTTGATTTGATCTACGACAGGTCCATAGGGACAGTGTTTTTCTGACAGCAGTAACATCTGTTCACAGCTATGGAATGTTCAGATAACTCCGGCAGTTAAAATTAGCTCGGTCAGATTTTGGGCCTTTTGCTTCTGAAATCTGATTAACGCCTCTTTGTTGTTTTAACAAACTAATTAAATTAGTTAGGCATGATTTCCTGAAAGTAAAAGCAAGGAAAAACCAAGTGTATTTCATAATCAAATCTTCCAAAATGAACACTCAGAAAGATGTTAGTAGATAAAAATAGGTTGTAACCCATATTTAAAATGAGTGATTATTGTCATAATCAAGTTTTCAGATTTGTTTTTTAATTATGATTTTTCATATTACAGCCCCCCAAAAAAGTCATTTTTTGTGTAAGATAAATAAATGAAATAAGCTTAGACGTACTATACCTGCTCAAACAATGTCGAATATGTTTATTTTTTGTTATCTGAAAATGGTTGTTTTCTTTCAAAGGCACGAGCAAGGTTGGAATTGAGAGAGGAAGCAACCAAAGAAGATGCTGAGGACATAGTTGAAATTATGAAACATAGGTAAGATGAAAATTTAAAATGCTGTTTTAAATGAAATACTGGTCATCTTTCCATCTCAAATTATATATTTAATTAGGCCAAGTAAAATTATTTTTATTTAATCATTTGATCACTTCTTTTTCTCTGAACAAATTGTACTTTCTTGGTTTAAAATATTCCTGTGTAAATAATCTTTACATTAAAAAAATTTTTCTTTGAATGGATAATATATTCACATGGTTGTAAAATCAATTAAAAAATACATACTTTTAGAAGGATTGTTCTGTTCCTAGTTACTATCCACCCTTCCTTTCCACCAAGACACCCATTACTTTCTTGTAAATATCATATGACTTACACTGTTCTGTACCTTTTTCTTAATTGAGATATAATTGACATATAACGTTATTAGTTTCAGGTGTACAACATAATGATTCAATATATGTATACACTGAAATGATCACCACAAGAAGTCTGGTTAACATCCATTACCACCCATAGTTAGAATTTTTTTTCCTTGTGATGAGAAGTTTTAAGATCGCTCTCTTAGCAACTTTCAAGTATACGGTATGGTGTTATTACTTATAGTTACCATCCTATACATTACATCCTCAGCACTTATTTTATAATTGGAAGTTTATACTTTTGGGCACATTCACCCATTTCACCCACCCCCCCAGCCCACCTCTGGGAACTGCCAATCTGTTCTTTTGTACCTTTTTTGTTAATTTGACAATCTATCCAGAAATCTTTCTTTACTAGGACATAGAGACTTCCTCCTTTTTTACAGCTACATAAAATTCTTTTGTTTAGCTACACCATAGTTTATTTGACCAGTCCCCCATTGCTGCGTACATGAGTATTTTCCATTCTTTTGCTGTTACAAACAATGCTGCAATGAGTAATCTGTAAGATACTTCATATGTGGGTAAGTGTTTCCCTGTATGAGAAATTCTCAGAAATGGTACTTTTGAGTCCAAGGGTAGATAAATAGGATTTTGACAAATATTGCTAATCTCTGTCCTCTGTGTTGTATGTCATTTGGTAGACCATGATTCCTAGAAACGAGAAAAGAAAAAAATTTATATTTTAACTGATCATATATGACTTAGAGTTTTTTTTTAATCAGTAAGAGCAAAAGCTGATTATTTTAGGTAGGTTTTCTTCTTTGAATTAAAAAAAATTTTTTTAATGGGTTCACCATTCATATGCTTCAAAATTCCAAAATTCAGAAAGTATACAGTGGAAAAAGTTTCCCGCTACCCTGTTTACCAGCTACCTGATTCTCCCTCTTGCCTCAGTGGCCACAAATATCAGTTTTTTGTGACTTTCAGATGTGAAATACACATCACACCTCTATCTGCATATTCTTTTTCTCTTCTTGTAGACAAATGGTAGCATACCATATACATTCTATAGTTTGCTTTTTTCACTTAAAATGCATCTTGGAGATCATACCACATCAGTGCCTAAAGAGTTTCCCTTTTATTTTTCACAAATGCACAGTATTCCATTGTGTGGATGTATCATAATTTAGAAATTAGCTCTTTTTAATTTGTTCTCACAGTGCTTAAAATGTAAATCTGTTAGGAATCTGTTTTCCCAAGGCCAAAAGTTGCTAATTTAGAGATGAAATTATTTTGTTCCGTAATTTCTATTTCTTCAAAAGGAGGTGGATTTTATTTCCTAAGAGCTGCTGTTCGGGGGCTCGCTGGGAGTCGGAACCAGGCGACTTTGCCCAGTTGTTCCTCTTTGGCTCTGAGTAAAAGTGGCACAGCAGGGCTGCAGGAGCACGGGCTCTAGCACTGACCTGGGCGGCCGCGGCCGGTTACCCTCCCATCTCAGTCCCCTTCTCTGTGAGACATGACAAAGGATTGTGCTCTGAGGTGTTTGTGCAGGGAGGCTGTATCAAGTGACAGATGTGGTTCTGGCACATGAGTGGGCACTCAGTAAACACTATTTATGATCACTAGTGCTAGCTTTGAGGATATTAAGATGAGACTGAGCAGAACCTCTTTTCTCTGACTCATAGCACAAACTGGCAGATCTCACATCACAGCTTAGAAGTTTCCAAAGTTACCCTTTTCTAAGAATTCCTTGGTTCTGGTCTTCAGTGCTCTCCATCTAAATTACCCAGTGGCTCTGAGCTACAGATCCTTTTCTCCCTTTCCTTATAGGGAGAGCCTTTACCTAGTTGTTTCTTTATCCCTAGGCTGGTACTGGCCTGTCCCTGGAGGCCACTCTGTTTCCTCAGCTGTATGGGTAGAAGGGCACCCATGCTACCTGCTGAAGGTCTGAGCCTTAACCTGCAACTTGTTTCTTGCCCTTATAGGCAGCCTGTGGAAGAAAGCAAACCTTTCTCTTTAAATCAGTGTGTCAATTTGTCAGCAACAGTGAGGTTATGCTCTATGGCCTTTGAAAGCTTTAAAGAGTCTAGAATTGACAGCTCTTAATTTTTTATTGCTGGCTCCAAAACAGCTACCTCATAATGAGTACAATCATTAACAATTACGACTACCAACACTAATAAAATCAACACTTTCAACCAATTCCTAACATATTACCCTCTTTGTCTGAATATCCTGTTGGTTTAGCATCACACAGTGTTTGAACTGTCAATTTCCTTTTTTATGTAATTCAGTACTAGGGTTAGGGATCTTGTAGGTGAAAATTTTACCAAGCTGGCTTCATTCCCTCTCCAGGTGACTTCATTGTGTTGGAGACCCTCCAGTTGCCATTTATAAGCTACCAGATAGTCTAGGAATTACTCGAATTTCTCATACAACATGCTACCAGGGGCTCAGTGTACTAGCATCTGAAATGAAGGAATGGTCACAAATACCAGTTGGCTGCCTGGCTTCTGGGAGACCAGACCATGTCAGAAACCTAGAGTCTGCCCTAACAGATATCCTTTTTTCACTTGGAAAGGAAGTCACTGAACCCAACCAAAGTTCCAGAAAACTTAGATTCTAACTTTCGTTCCCAATTAAAAACAAGGATCAACAATAGGGACTTCTTGTCTAATGACAGTTGCCTCTTTGCTTACAGTCTGGAGTGTGTCTGTCTTTCTCTTTCTCTGCATCCTATGCTTAAACTCTCCACCTTTCAGGGTGGGGCTAAGATTGCCACTCCAGGTTTCCTTTTCCTTCTAATGCTCTCTCGCCCTTTGGGTCTTCTGGTGCCTGGTTCTGCTGAAGAACATCATGTGCTTCTACTTCATAGACTGTTGGCTGTCAAGCAAATCAAGCGTCAGACTACCCCGTCAGCTCCTCTCTTACCTGTAACATTCTCTTTTTGAGGCTTTACCCTTATTCAGTTTCCCTAGGCCTCAGACCCCAGACTTTGTTTCAAGCAGCCATCTGGTCTTTCTCCACAATAAATCCACTGGTCTGTGGACACCATGGATTACTTCTCAGATCTCAGCATTATAGTTAAGCAAGGTGAGTTATGCTCTGCTTACCTTTTCAATGAAAATGCTACAGTGCTCATTTGCCATTAGTTCTTCGTGTCTGAATACTGGTGTCAGACAGTGTTTGCTTGTGCTTTCCCATCCAAGAGGAGCTCTTGGGCATTTCTTTGTGGAACTTTGTATTGATTTCTAGTACTTCTCAAAGTTGCCTTGCTGCTAAATCTGAATTTGTTTGAGGTTGTCAGTTTACTTCTGGGCTCCTGAAAAGAGAGGTCTGATTATTAAGTGTAAACAGCATCCACATCAGATTACCAGTTTGTCTCTCTGAATTGCCTGAGTGTAAAGTTTCTATAAAAATTTTCTGGAAAGAGAGAATAGTTTGATTCCAAGTGATTAGAATTACCTGGCATTATTTCCATGGTAGACATCAAGACCCAGTTAAACACACTGAGGCTAGCTTGTGAATTATCTCTTTGGTTATACTTAACGTGCTTCCTATCCTTAGTCTACACTCCTGCAGCAGGGACCTCGTCTGTTGCGTTACCAGTATATTCCCAGGGCCTAGAGTCACGCCTAACACACCGTAGACCCTCGGTAAATGTACTTCTTTGACGGTAAAGTTGACCTTAGTAATCATCTTTCATTCATTAAATCTTCCATTTCAGAGTTTCTGTCTCTTCACCTTTTGAATGTTTGACCTTAATGTGGTTTTGAACCTGTAAAATTACATTTTAACTCGGAAACAGAAGCCTAAATAAGAAAAATCTAAACTGTGACACAATTCATCATAGTTATCAGAGCACAAAGCTGTAAAAACTAAATGTTTGTGGGCAACAGTTCACATAAGCTTTCTCTTAAAATTGAAAATATACTGGGAAGCAGAATAGAGTAGAACCACCTTCAAAGGTGAGAGATCATTGTAAGTTTTTTCTGTTTCAAGAAAGTAGCTCAAATATTTTACATATCTTTCTTCAGTTCTGGAGCAGTATAGCTCAGATTCATATCCCAGATGTGCCACTCGTTAGCCTTGTGACTTTTGGCCAGTCTCTTAACCTTACTAGACTTCGTTTCTTCATCTGTAAAATGAGAATAAGAATAGTCCTTAAGTCACAGGATTGCTGGGAGGACTAAATGGAATAACATATGGTAAATAAATATAATTAAGGTAAATATTAGTTATTATAATTAATGTAGTACCTCAAAGCACTTTTTGACAACTGTCTTATGAGAAGTATGCATATGGTAAATTATATGGTAGAGTAGTTAATCATAAAAGCCTTAGCTAAGATTATGCTATATTTTGGGGGTAAACACACACTCATCTATCGTATGGTTCTATCAGTTATTAGAGACTTATTTGGATGACTCAAGTTCCTATTTTTATAGTTCAGTCTTTCACACCAGCTCTTATCTATTCAGGGAGCAAAACGAAGCTGTGTTTTTAGTAACCCTTTAAACTCATTCCTATGAGCTTCTTAAGGGCAGGAATTGTACCTATTTTGTTCACCACTGTAAGCCAACTGCCTAGCAGGTGACCAATTTATTCTTTTTTTTTTTTTTTTTAAAGATTTTATTTTTTCCTTTTTCTCCCCAAAGCCCCCCGGTACATAGT